TTTTTTTAATATCAGCCAGTGGGGACAAGACGAGAGCAGCCCAGGGAAAAATTTGTTCTGGGGAAAATGGTTGGGCTGAGATGATCATGTATCCCAGAGGCCTATTAGGCCTCAGGATCCATCTGGATTTCTGTCTGTTGAAGGCACGTTGATGGAGGTTTCCTTGGGAGAAAATGAAAGTTGGGTGCTGTGAGAATGGCAGTGCCTGGTAACCGCTGAGTGCAGCAGGATCCTGTCAAAACCAAGGATTGCAAACCAAGAAAGGATAGCTAAGCTTAAGCTCAAAGCAAAGATAGATTCTATTCAGGTACAGAACAGATATTTGCATATTAGGAAATACAGTTTCAGTTAGAAACCAAGCAAGATTTTTGTCAAGGTAACAGGTGAAGGGACTTGTTTAAAGAAAAAAAAAAACTTTCACTGATCATTGCATTAACCAAGTTGTTTTGGAAGAATTTGGATTGGTTATGAGGTCTGTCCATACATGAAGCTACACATTCTGGGTTGTTAGGGGGATATCACAGGGGGGATTATCAGCAAGCTGTAAAGATTTTAAGAAAGTACATTGGCACAAGTCTCAGCAACAGAATCTGCTACAGTTGGTGAGCACATTTTTTTCCAAAAAATATTTTTAAAAGTTTCTTTTGTTTAACACATTTATTTTTATTTATTTATTTTTATGTGGTGCTGAGGATCTAACCAGGGCCTCATGCATGCTAGGCAAGCTCTATATACTGCTGAGCCACAATTCCAGCCCCTCCAAAATATTTTTTATCCAGACACTCAATCAAGGGTCTTTTGACTATAAAGAAGGGTTAGCCTGTCAAACCTTGACTTCTGAGCCTTACACAGTCTTTTCTCTCTCTTGACCAGAGTGCAGTCATTTTAATTTCTTCAGGATCCATCAGGAAACAGTTGGCCCTCAAAAAAAAAAAAAAAAAAAAAAAAAAAAAAAAAAAAAAAAACAGGGCAGGTGACTTGATCCCAGTGGTGAGTACAGAGCAATGTCCAGAAGAGTGTGCATGTCAGCAAGGTTGTGGGCAGGACCACAGGGAGCATAGTTTGGCCTCTCCCGCTGTTATAGATTCTAGAATACTATTTCACCATATCTGGAACCATGTCCTACTACATATATAATTGTTCTCCACGTTTGTCCCATGAAATTTTGTGTGTATGGGTCTGTGTGAGAGTGCGTGAGCACACACACATCCTCATGTGTATGTGAGGAGTTACCAAAGAGGGGACCTCAACTCATGATGAGTGGGGAATCTCAAAAAATATTGCTGAAATGAGTTGAAGAAAGCACCAGCTAATGGTATTGAGAATGATTTAGGAAAGTGAAAAACAAACATTCAAGGGAGAGTAGGGGCCATCTGAAGAGTAAACAACACTTTCGGAATTCTCAAACTCTTCTTTTAAAGGAAACTTAATGAGAGGTAGGCATGGGAAGGGATATAGGGATGACATCAATCTGTTGATCACAAGACAGTTTAATGGTGGTTGGGAAGTTCTTGGGATCATTAGGCTAATGTGGTCTCTGATATCTGAATAGTAGATAATATTGTAAAGTCCCACATATTTGAGGTTCCTGGAAAAGTACCTTCTATCTTAGAATTTGTATCTCCCTCCAGTGCAGCTACTCTAAAAATGGATGCATTTGTGGGTGAAATAACAGTGCATGGAGCAATTTTTAAAAGTGGGTAGATTTTCAGTAACTTTAAAATTGTGAGTGAAGATTTGTAGATTTACCAGAAATTTGAGAGTGGGAGCCCTGGGAGAACCATCTTGGTAAGTGGCAGGCCTAAGAGACAGAACTAGCTTGGGAGTGAAAGGATGAAGAGAAGCACAAGCCTTTCAATCAATAAATTGTATTTTCTTGCCTGTCCTTTGGTTTTCTTTCTACCTATCATTTATTTATTATTTATCCACACGTAAGTGTTTTTAATGACAATGACATTATACTGCTATGAAGACATACCGAATCAGCACAGTCTAACATCCCACTTATGCCAAATCTTTGTCTTCCTCAGAAACATGGTTTCAGAAAGACCAGGGTTGGCATCTGGACAGCTATGACCCATCAATCCTTGGCTTCACAAGAGGTTCTGCATTCCTCCAATGAGAAAAATTAGACTTCCTTCCAGCACATGGCTTTCCACCTAGAAGTGAGAGCCCAATCCTTGCAAATGCCATAAGGATTGTTCTGCATGGCCTACAAGATGGCTAACTTTACATACAGGCAGTATCCCTGAATGAGGTTTTATTAACAGGGTGATGATCAAGACAATGGGCACATTAATTCCCAGGTATATAGGGAAATCCAGAGATGTTGCAGAGGAAATACACTAGAGTCAAAGGATGAATGAGAAAACATGAAGCATTTTCCAAAAAATGGGCATGCTATTCACACCAGGTGCTAGGATAGTGGGCATGGAGCAGAAACCTCTTATTTGCCAGGTATTTCCCATCATAGAAACCAGGGGCCTCACACTCAAAAATCCTATATTTCAAGAAAAAAAGATTCTAGAATTTAAAAGCTAACCAAAAGAAGCTGGTGAGGAAGTCTGCTGCTTTCTGGCTACTGCTGTAGCTATCCAGCTCCACCCTGAATATAGAGGACCCAATAGTGAATGGTCACATAGCTCCCATCTTCTGCCACCATTGCATTTTAAGAAGCAAGGAGGGCACAGTGGCAGAAGCAGCAGCAGGTGAGTTGCTGGTGGTGGGGGGATATAATCATTGGAAAAACTGTGAGGCAAAAGGGAATTCTAATTGGGTCCCTTTCTGTGTGTGCTGCAGTGAGGATGGATACAGAGTTTCAGGCTTATGAGCTCTTCCTTTGAGAGATATGGGAGATGTGCTTGAGAAAAGGACAGTCTTTTTCTATCTCTTTAACACAACCTGGAACAAGTTTGGGGCATCTTCTCTTCTTTTCCCTGAGAATTTGGTGTTCAGAGAAGGGGGAAGTTTTATGAGCCTAGGATAGTAATACCTAGAGAAGAGATTATACCGCTACCAAGACATACCCAAAATTCCTTTTTTCCCATCCCATTGCTTCAGTGTTGTACATAATATAGTCCAAGTGCAAGGAACTTGACTTCCCTAAGGAATTCCCAGTGACCCATCTCTGGAATTAGAGAAGGAAGGGCATCTGCACCCCATAGAAACCTGGGAACAGGAAAGGAGCTTCTGATAAATGCCTGCAGGACAAGTCCCACCTCTCCAGTGGGAAGAATGTGCTCAATTCAAGTGTGACCCAGACTGTGAAGGCCATGGCTTCCTGTGAGCCTCATGTTATCACTCCACCAAAAATATCTCCTACAGGGTTTGAACAAAGCTCCCACATTGTCAGCACTTTCTTCCACAGTGCCTAAGGACAAATTGTCAGGGAGTAGATTTTTAAAAAGGAAACAGAAACTTCCTCTTGCTCCACTATGCCTTCATTAATACTAATATCTCATGGGAATGGGGACACCCATGAGAGAAAATCATGCTCTGCTCAAAAAAGCATTGAAAAATCACACTTAGGTTATAGTAGCTATAAGTTCCTTTTCCAACTAATGAGAAATTAAGTCAGGTAGACTATTTGTATGGGGAAATTCCTTACTCCTAAATAATCCTTCAAGTTTTCCTTCAGGTTAAACATCACAAACAGGCCACTTTAGTTGATTAAAATTTGGAGTATTTCTGCTGGTAGATTCTGAGCAGCCAAAGGGCACAGATCTGTCCACCCTCCCAGGCCCTGAGCCACTCAGGGTTTGACTAGGGCAGTGCCCCCACAAGCAGCTGGATGAGCCAATGGGCAGCAGAAAACTGGCTGAGTATTCACCATATATATATAACCTTGCTAAGCCCACATTTATTTCCTTGCTTAGTCAAAGTGATTATTGTCAGTCTATAGAGTAACATGGACTCTCATCTGCCTCTGGTTAATGCTCTGATCCTGAGGCTTCTTTGGTTTCATGACATTATCCCTGATTGGAGGGACACCTGACCACTTGCCCTCAAGAGCTCAGCTCTGTGCAGTCTCAATGCTGACAAAATTCACAAAAACAATGGGGAATCAATGCATTCCTCAGGCAAGTCCAGTTTCTTGCACTTGGACTGTATGATGTACAACACTGAAGCAATGGGAGGGGAAAAAGAAAGGAATTCCCAGCTCCCGTTGACAGTCTACTGTGGGAAGGAGGCTCTCAAAGTGGGGAACAAATGCCACCTATGAAATTACACTGGATAATGTGAAGAATCAAAAAAGCAGGAGATGCTTAATAAACAGACAGCCATTTATTAACTCATTTCACAAAATGAGTGAAATGTAACAGTGTCATATTATAATGAAATGGCCATCAGGGAACACAAGTTAATTAAGTGACCCAGAGTGCAGGAGGACAAAGTAATGGGTCTTCTGCTGAGTCAGATGTTATCAGTGGTCTCAGCTTCCCAGCTCCATCCAGGCCAGGCTCTAGGAAGGTCAATAGTCTTACTGAGCTGGGCCCAGCACATACCATAGCCCAGAGGGTCAGGACACAGGTAATGGGTCAATTCCTGGAAAGTGCTTCTGACCTTGGTTCCCTGGAGACTAAGGCTGATTCTATGCTCAAAAGTGCAGATGGAGTAAGTTGGGCTTCCATCCCTCCCTCTTTGTCTTCTTTTGATCCCCAATGCTTGGAAGAAGGCTCCCCAGTAATCTTAAATCAGCTGTCCCATGAGAAGAGCAAATGTGCAAAATCACCAAACATTAGCTACTCCCAAATCCATGAGAGAGCATAAGATTATTGGGGGAGCCCAGGTGTGTTTGGGATATGAGGTTTTGAGCTCTGGGAAATTTCCACCATGGCCTAGATCCCCATTATTCTCCCCTCATTCTCTGCACAGGTGACATGCTCAGTCATGTCCCTAGACTCAGCCCCTGCAAGATGCTCAACTGGACCCACCCCATACCCTGACATAGCCCAGGCAGAGCCTCAGGAACCCTTTTGTCTCCTCTCTTACGGGCTCTGTGGCTGTCTTTGAACTGACACAGCTGGCCTTAGTGTCAGTTGCTCCGGAACAGATGGCCACAGTCATTTACTCTGGAGATGGCCTTACCAATGAATATGCTGAGCACTGGTACCAGCAGAAGCCAGGCCTGACCCCTATGATGATCATCTATGGTAAGAGCAACCAAGACTCAGGGATCCCTGACCAATTTGCTGGCTCCAACTCAGGGAATATAGCCATGCTTACCATCAGCAGGGCCCAGGCTGGCAATGAGGCTGAGTACTGTTTTCAGGTGTGGAATAACACTAATGATGCTCACAGTGACTCAGGCAGATGAAGAAGTGAGATGCAAACACCTGCCCATATCTATGTCACACTTTTCACCCAGCCCCAGCAGAACCAAATACAAAACTATGGGAAGGTCTGGCCTAGCCCACCCAGATCTGAGACACCCAACTTACCCTTTCCTCCCAGCCTTCTAATCAGGTTCTGCAGAAGGTGGATCAGCATAGATTTAGGTCTGGAAGGACTATGCTTTCCTGGTGCTTTCTGGACCAGGTTTTGTGAAGGAAAATGAGATCTGAGGAATAATTTGGTAGACTGAGTCATCTGTCTATTCTTATGGTAACTATATTGTCTGTGTTTACTGATCTGGACCTCCAACTCTATTTCATAACCCAGAGAACCTGGTAAGTTGGACTCTGTTTTCATTTCCTAGAAATCAAGAAAAAATAAGTTGAGTTGAAGCATGTTAAAATTACATTGAGAATTTAGGAGACAACTCAGTACTTTCTATGTGTAGCATGTCTTCCCATTCCCTGATGACACATATTAAGAATAGCTGGTTCCACATATGTTGCTGCTATACAGACCAAATATTCTAGATTATTCCCTTGAACTGTGCTGGTCATCTCAGCTCCTGAGTCCCTTTGTTCTTTTGGCAGCCTGGGATCCTGAACAACACCAACCACGATAGACGACACTCTGGGATGTACTCACATTCCCATCCATAGAAGCTCAGAGTTCTGGCAGCTCACAAGTTGCCCTCAAGCAAACTGGTGTCGGTTACAAAGAACAGCCACAGGTTCACATCCTTCTCAGAGAACTTCAGTTTAATGACTGCTTGAAGCCACAAACCCAGAGCTCTGAAGGGACTCCCCCTCCGGAGATTCCTGTAGAAATGCAGAGTCCTTAATTGCCCCCTTATAGAATCACTGTCCCTTTCTGCCCACTGCTGCCTTCCTCTTTGCTTTCAACACAGCTTGAGCACCATTCTCCATATCAGAGTCTGCATCCGGGGCACCCAATTAGAGGAGAGCTACTGTCCCCAACAAGGGAATTCAGAGACCTTGGAGGCCATACTACACTAAGAATGTATGCACAGCTCCTAAATTCCCAGTGTAAATGTTCAGATGCCCATCTATGGCCAATGTTTATTGATTCCTATAAAATTAAAGCACTGCCTGACTTATTAGGTTATTGGGTTATGAAACAGAGTTGGAGGGAAGAGCATGTGATGTTTTCAGATATGCATGCATGTGCATGCACACAGGTGTGTACACACACACACACTCAACTCTCTCCAAGTACAGGGCTGAGTGATGTTGGGTAACTTGCCACAGTCCTGCATAACATGTGCCCCCAGGAAAGAATGACTAAGTCAATGAAGCCCCAAATCATTTTAGGTTCAGGGTCCAGATAAAAGGAATGGATGTCCCAAGGTTTTTTGTTGTATGTATTGGGCCAGGAATGAAACCTGAAGCCCCCCTGCTCCAGCTCCTCCCTAGCAGCATCTCCAGGTTCCTCCCTCCCTCTGTGGACCCAGCTTCCCTCCTACCACCCTAACTGCCTCCCCTCAACTGTATGCCTCCCCTCCCTCTGTCCCTGCTCCAAGGCCTCCCCTCTCTACTGTCCCCAGGAGCAAACCTACAGCATCTTGATCCTTCCCTGATTCTGAGCTCAGTCCAGGCAATGCTGCTGGGGTGAACTCCTGGGAATGAGGTCCAATTTTATCAAAGAGCTGCTGAAGACAGTATACAAATCCTTGACCATGAACTATGAGGTTTGTGATTAAATAAAAACGTTACTAATGGAAATGGTGTTGATTGATTATGATAATGATGTAAATACCCTACTGAGCTTTAATCAAAAACATCCTGTACTTCCACTGACTGCATAGCAGCTCTCATTGCCATGGGGCAGCACCAGCCCTGGCAGCAATTACATGGGAGCCTGGCTCCATAGGAAGCATCAGCATGTTTCTTGGGACTTTTCTGTTTATTCAGAAGAACTGAGAAGCAAACACTCTCACCTTTCCCTAAAAAAAAAAAAGCAAAGCACTAAGAAGGGACATTCCACCCCTAGACAGGGTCAAAGAAACTGTAAGCTATCTACCTAACTTCATATAATGGATGCCAATTCTCTGTACTGTACTTGGCAGTACAAGGTGTGTGCAGCTAGCAGAGTAAGCCTAGATGCTGTATACATACCCTCTCAGGTGACATGGACTTTGGAGTCACCTGTAGAAGGGATCTACTTTTCCTAGGCTCCTCCATCAGCAGAGGGAGGTAGACCTACAGTCATGAGCAGTCAGGAAGAGGCTGGGTCAGTAAAAGAGGAGGCCAAGAGGAAGGCCCATCCAGAGTTCAACAGGTCTCCATGTAATGGAAGTCATGAGAATCCAACATATGTCTATGCTGCAGTGACCACATTCTGATGACCACACACACAGTGTGTCCCCGAGACACTGACAGGAGCCTGGAAACAGTGAAGGCCTCACCTAGGAAATGCCTTGGAGGAAGTCCCAGGTGTCAATCTTTGAAGAAGCCTGAGAGACAATGAGGAAACTACATCAAGGTCCCTCTAGGAGGGAATTACATGTGAGAGGATGGAACTTAAGGGCCTGTGTCCTTCACCCAGGACAGCTGCCTGAGTGTTCTGCCCAATCCCAGAGCACCTTTGCTTATGTCCAGTAGTGGTACTAGAACTAACCTCTCTATCCTGGGCACTTCTAGAGATGCTTGCACTGTTTTCCTTCATTCTCCTCCCACTTCCAGGCAGACCTGCCTTGAGGGCTGCAGCTCCTGTGCTCAGGTGCAGTCTCAGTGGAGGACAGAGGGCATTCAGGGTCTTATCTGAATAGAGAATGCACAGCCTCTTTAGGACACTCTCCAGAATGAGGTGGACTACCACCTGCCTTGGCCTTTTTTTCTTTTTTCCTTTTAGCTCTCTAGTTTCTGCAGGAGAGAAAACATGACTGTTAACACAGGTTGCCTTATTTCACTTAGCATGATGGTGTCTAGTTCCATTCATTTTCCTGCAGATAACATAATTTCATTTTTCTTTGTGGCTAAATAAAACTACATATCACATTTTATTTATCTAGTTATCCACTAATGGACTCCAAGCCTGTTTCTATTCTTAGGCTGCTGTAGATATGGGCATACTCATATCATCATAGTATGATAATTTCAATTCTTCAGGATAAGTGCTGAGGAGTGGTATAGCAGGGTAATTTGGTGGTTCCATGCCTCATTTTTTGAAGACCCTCCATACAATTTCCAAAATAGTTGTACTAATAAATCATCCCACTGAGAGTGTAAAAGTGTTCCTTTTTCTCCATATCCTCCTAGCATTTATTATTATTTGTATTCTTGTATTCCTGAGTGTCGCGACCCCTTGCCCGCAAGGAAGATGCAACTCAGGAATCTTCTTTCAGCAGTTTATTCAGGCCCTTGATATTTCTTCTTCTCTCTCTCTGATGCCCCTCCCAGCCTTAATAAAGCATCTCAAGCCCCAATGCGAAGCTGCTACGTGGAGCTTTCTCATAGGGTGGTGAAAAACCATGTGCCAACTCTCCCAAATAAGGAGTTGTTTGTCACAGACCACAGCGGAGCCAGCGCCATCTTGTAATGGCGACCATAGTCTGCAGAAACGGCAGAAGCGGCTCACCACAGTTCCCCCTTTCTGTTTTCTTAAAACAATACAGGCGAGAGTAGAGGTCCTATCCCACTGTGCAGAAGTGGCTGCATAGTATGGCTCAGTCCTAAGGAGGGCCCTTCCCCAGATCTGAGGCCATATCAGCCGACGCCTTGTTTTCATGGGGCGGGGCGTGGACGCGTCTAACCCGCATGCAATAGGACATGCTCTCCTTGAGGTCCACGTCAAGGATCACTCAAGTGCAGTGCCTTGCCTCGCATCCTGTATCGTGACGATGGTGGACGAAGGGGGATAGCTGAGGCTGAACTGTGGCTGTTTATAACGACAAACAAGTTGACAGCACCCTGAAAGAAAGGCACGGACTTTAAGGCGATAGAAAAGCACTAGTGTGGAAACCCATCTGCGTGCAATGGCAGTAAGACCGGCAGAGTGCAAGGGCTTTCCAACACTAAGAGAATAACAAGGAAAGTCATGTCAATCCCAGTGCAATGTTATAATAACTTGGGGTGTAACGACCATGTCAAAGGTTTACTGTTTAAGATGCGCAAGCCAGACTTGAGGTGAGTTGCCATTTTCTAAAGCTGCAAGAGCTTGTATGATCATAGCCTTATCGTGAGCACTGTGGGCCTTAAGGCGACAGAGAAACCACAAACAGAGGAACATACCGAAGCAACACATTGCACCAAAAATGCCTACCCCCACCCACTCTTTGAAGAAGGAAAAAGCAGAAGATATCCAATCGGTGAATTGACCCAAAGTCACGGGATCGACACGGGTACTGTTCAAGACAGCTATCTAGGTTAGTTGAGACTGGATCATGTCTTCTGCTGCCATGGACCAATTTCCAGCCAAATATTCACCAATGATGCGGGAGGCATTCCTGGAATCATTAAATCTGACAGAGGTTATGCATAAATGTGCACATTGGTCAACACAACCCAAAAGCACCAAGTCAGCCAATTCTTCTACCTGAGCTTGGAGTAAATCTATTCTTTGGTTGGCAGCTAAAATCCCTGACAAAATATGTTGATTAATTGTATTTTGGGATTCAGGTATGGTGGAAGTTTGTTGAACAACTTGATTAATGGTGGCAGCAGTTTGTACTTGACTGGCCATGGCCACTCCGGCCGTAACCGCTGCAGCAGCAGACACTGCCACAGCTGTCACTATAGCTGCCATAATTCCAAAATCCCTGCGGACTCTAAGTAGCTCAACAATGGGGAATTTATCTGGGTCCGCAGTGACTGGGATTGGGACAAAAGTTGGAATTTTCATAACCACTGCTACAGTCCGAGAACCATTCCAACACTCAGATAAGAGACAGGTAACACTAGAACAATCCAGCATCCCCGACGAGGTGTCATTAGCCAAAAGGAGCAAGAACGGGGATTGGACACAGACCATTGCAGGGGGCAATGTGGCATTATATAGCAGAGAGTTGAACGAAACAGATGTAAGTCTATTACCTCGTTCACTCTCCCTAACAGTGCCAGAAACATTAGCCAGCCAGCTTTTGGCTCCCAGCAATTGAGCCAATGCAGAAATATCGGCTGAAGCCCCCTTCTCATTGGAAATCAGCCGTTGAAACCAGGACCAACCTACTCCTGTAGAGGAGTTGGCACTGTTGTTAAAGTTATAAACATGCCTCTTAAGAGAGGGGGAAAGGGAGAAACCTTTAGCAACTTGATGTTTCTCCCAAGAATGATCCTGACAAGGCGTAAATGTTGGGGGGAAACCAAGATTAGGGGTACAGTAAGGGGAGGCCTTGAAATGAGTGGCATTGTAAGTATTATTAGAAGAAGGAGGCACTGGGATTAGTACCTTGGAGATAATAGCCAAGGTAGTTATGTTTAAAGCAGAGCTATTTGCGGGGGTCCCTGAGCCTGATTGCTTCCCCGAAACTACTTGGCTCAGTACAGCACTGATAATGCTCCCTGAGACCTGACTGGACCGCAATGGGTCCTCCCAGTTAGTCAAATTTTTGGTCTTAAGGCTGATGCAATTAGCGTTTCCAAGGCTGAAACAAAAAACTCCTGTGAGATTAACTTGAGATTGATTAAAAATGCTCTCCATGTCCCCTCTAGGAGAGGCACAGGGAGCAGACATCTCACATGAGGTAGAGAAAAGAGTGGGGAGGACACTAGAATTACCATGAACCGCCATCGGCATTGGCCAAGCCCGTGCCACTGCCCACCACTGCATTGGTGTCGTCTGTGCCATTGGCACCAGCACCAGAACCAGAGCACGTAGCAGAGTGAAGATCCTCATCAAGGGATTGCTGTGGTATCTCTTGTTGCTGGTCGGTTGATGTCAAGACTCTTCTTGTCAGGCGTTCAGGGACCCACAACGGTTCCGTGCAATCCTGGGGAAAAACACATACAGATCCTCGCGCCCATGTCAGCACGGGGTCGGGGCCGTTCCATTGGCCCGTAAGAACATCCTTCCACTTAACATAGCCAATCACAGAGGGCTGAGGGGACACATGTCTATCGGCCACAGAGCGACCATGAATATCCAAATTCAAAAAATTAA